ATGGCTATGATTAATGTTTGAGATCAGTTTAAAAATTTGAAACCCTCTCTTGCTTGCCATCTATTACAGGCTCTCAGTGTAATACAGACCTCCAAATTCACTGATAATTTTTCATTAAATTCCCATCCTCTTACTCTTTACTTTTCTTTGTTGAAGTCAGCCAGCAATTGAAAAGAAGTGTGCTGTCAGCTTCTTCCTTAAAGGTCACATGGAAAAAAAAATGTCAGACAGGCAGTTATGGGTATATTAGGATTGAATCTGCCACCGTTGCTGCTAATTTCCTCTTAAACCTGACCAAATGTCAGCAGCATGCCTGTTTGAGATTTCTGCAGAATAAAGTCACTTTGTGGTGGTTAAAAATCATTGGACGGTGCTGGAGTCTATGGCTTGATAGGGATAGTGACTGTATAAACTTAAACAATCAAAGAATGGAAACATATGCTTTCAATACATGGCCTATTCATGCTGATGGCTTACTGTAATAACATCAGCAGAAATATGTTGGGGGTGCTAAAAGGGATTGGTAATGTTGCCTTTTTAACAGCAACAAGAAACTAGTTAAGTAGCACAAACATAAAGACACATATGCTTTATACTGCTGCCTCAGAGGCACATAACCACATTTTGTGTTTGTCATATTCTTTTTAACTCTACAAGGCAAATGTGTAAGTAAACATCTGTTATTTACCCTGCAGTAGAATATATAACATTGCCACACAATCAGTATTCACTCACAGATTTGCACTACTGTGCAGAGGTCTTGAGATTGCCCTAATTTCATTATATTTTGCTAGAAAAATGGGAAAAAGCTACAGCAATTTATTGGAACATATGCAAAAATACATGGAAATAAAGTATATAAGGCAAAAAAAAACAAAAAACCCTACTTTCATTCTTCTGCCCAGCCTGAATCACCTTTTTGGTGATAAATTACTAAATGATACTAAAATACTCCCAAAATGCAATTTTTTGTAGATTAGATAAATGGGAACAAATTGTGTGTTGTTGCAACAGGCTGTTGTATAACAGCATGCCAAAAGCTCCTATATTAACCTCCTAGGACCTTTCGTCCACATATGTGGACATCACATTTTGGGTTATATAGACCAAAATACTAAATTTTGCTCTACAAGGGCCTGATATCCACTTACGAGGACATTATACTGCTAATGTTCTGTCGAAATTTTAAATGAATATATATGTGGCTCTCATTTTTCTTGGAAAGAAAAATTAAGTAAAAAAAAAATCTGGTAATTCTTCGTTTTTACATTTCTCAGTTCCCAATCAGCCCAAATATCAAAGAGAAATTAAAAATGCATGCCGTGGAAGAGTTCGGGTCTTAGGAGGTTGAAACAGGTTCTTTGCCAAGTTTCCCTTTTATCTGTAGACAAAACAGTAGTTCATCTCTTGAGTTAGATTGATCGTTTGGTAATTAGTTGCTAAACAAACCTCTTCCTTCAGCTGCTCCCTTTATCTGTCACCACAGCAGATTATTTGCCTCTTCTGTCACACCAGCCCTCTGCATGTCCTTCATTACCACTTTATCCTCTGAGTATTCCGCTTCTCCTCCTGGAAGCTCCATATTCAACATCATTCCACTGTCCCTCCTTTGCACATGTCCAAACCAACGCAGTCTCTAAATTAAAAAAAAAAAGAAAAAAAAAAGGGCTAACCAAATAAACAAAATGGCTAAAATAAATAAATACTCTGAAAATATTGAGGTACAAGGGCTAGACCAGGGGTCAGCAACCTTTAACACCCAAAGAGCCATTTGGACCCGGTTTCCACGCAAAAGAAAACACTGGGAGCCGCAAATACTTTTTGACATCTAAAATGAAGATAACACTGTATATATTGTTTTTTACTTTTATGCTTTGTGTGAACAACTAAAGTAAGTAAGTAATTTATTAAGCGCTTTTAACAGACAGGCAGTCACAAAGCGCTGTACACAAAGATTAAAATAAACAATACAATCAATAGACATTATACACAATTTAAAAGATCAAATGGAAATAATGTAAAGAATATAAAATACGTAGATCAACAAAAGGCTTGTTTGAAAAGAAAAGTTTTTAACTGCTTTTTAAAAGAATCCACAGAGCAACTAAGGGGTGTTGCTTATGAAATCCATGAAGTGCTACAGAGAAAATTACATTTTATTTATGTAACTAACACATTTTGAACTCCTAAAGAAATATAACAAAAGGAAAGACACCCAGCTGAACTAAAATGATCCATGTAGCAAACAAAAACTGTTGTGAGCCGCCACCCTCATATCGCCTTTGGGCTTTTGGAGCCTTGACCTGACTTTTAAAAAATAATTGAGGAAAAAAGCACTATGCTGCTAAAAAAAAATAGATATTTGCAAAATTCTGCCTAAATATATATTTTACCTGGTTAATGTGTGTGGCGGGGCGTGGTCTGCAGCGCCGCTGCATGGGAGGCGGACGCACCTGAGCAGCACCCGCAATCAAGCCTCACCGCCCTAAAGTCTGTGCCATCTATGCTGTTGTGTTGTCGGGCTGTGAGCTGAAAAGCTACAGCCAGCTGTATGCGTACAGCAACCGTGTGTGAAAAGTGGTCTGAAATGAAGCAGCGGGTCTGCCGTGGTATGTTTACAATGGGACTTCTGCTCCTGAACCTCTGCGCACAGCGTCTGCAAATCGGGGCTGTACAAAGTCACTTTCATCTTCACGCAGGACTGTAAGCTGTCGTCTGTGAGGCGTGAGCGGTGTTTGTTTTTAACATAGTTCACGGTGGAGAACAGCTGCTGACATAATGTGGATCCGAAGATCCATAATTGGCCTACCTGGGGTTGAAAGTCTCGATAAATGCACGGCATTTAGGCTTCTGTGAGTGTGACATGTATTTTGAGCGATGAAAAAATTATAAAATATAATTTTATTTTTATATTTCAATATCACAATAATCTTCCAATTTAGAAGTACAAGTTAAAAAAAAAGAACTAACATAAATAAAATACACTTCAGCTAATTACTTCTAATTTATTTTCCCAAACCACGCAGAGCCGCAGTACAAGGACTGAAGAGCCGCATGCGGCTCCGGAGCCGGAGGTTGCATACCCTTGGGCTAGACCAATGACTGTAGAAAGTCATGAAAAGCAGCCAGTATCCAAAGAAAACCATCAGAAAGCCTGTGCAACTATTGCACAGGAGCACTTTAGAAATTAAATTAAATTATTATTAAATTAAAATATCTTGGACATATGCATTTTTTTTTAAACTTGTTTTAAAAAGTATATGAAGTATATAATTTCCCTCCTCAAAGATCTGACACGAGGTGTCCGCTTGTATCATTTATTTGAATTATAAATAAGGAATCCTCTGTCTTTAAGTGGCTGTAATGCATCAGATGTAATTACAGACATGCTTTCACACCAATGAGTGCTCATCAAATGTAATCAGACTAATAAGTGACTTTACAATTATATTGAATAACCAGCTCTGCCTGGAAAACAGCTTCATCGGACATTAAATTCATTATCCTTTATTGCATTTACTGTATATCTGAGATTATTCTTTCACTAAACTCTTATTCAAACTGGTGCCTGCTCTTTAAAGCAGGAAGAAACACGTCAGCGCTTTCCTAACTTGTGAGTGCTTCTGAGACACATAGAGAAAGTGATATCAGTCGAAACATAAAGACACAGGGAGAGGCGTGGAGAGCAAGCATTTAACAAGGCAATAGTCAATACAAGGATGGTGTATATAACAGTTGGAAGCCAATGAAGGTGGAAAGAACTGCAGGCTTCCTTGTTTGGTGAGCTGTAAGGAGATTACTTACCACCGGCCACAACATCTTATCCTCTAAATCCCTCTCTAACACCAGGCAGCCTGCAGCGAATACAGATTTTATGCTCCTTGTTGCCACCCGATCCAGGAACTTTTTCTATCTAGGGTGCAGGATATAATCAGCACAATATAAAACAAGAAGAAAAGTATAGACCCTGCCAAACTTTAATAAAAAATAAAAATACATAAATATATAACAAGGCTTTGGGGGGGCTTAAAAGATTACAAATCAAAACAATGTACTTGAGCCAAATCCAAAATAATGACAAGTAGCAAAATAACTATTAACTTAAGGCTCTTGCAATACAGAACTGAATGTAAAATTAACATGTTGCAATGCTAAAGATGAGGTAAACTGCAAGTGATTTATAAAGTTTTTAAGCAGTTTTTTTTTTTTTAAAGTTTCACTTACAGAGAAGAAACTCCCCACACCTACTTCACATTAGGTGCTATCTCACATAGTTTTGACTCCCTTTGAGTGAGAGCAGGATAAGAGATTACACTCAGGCTGGCAGGTGACCAACTTGAACATCTGAAGATTTGTTTTGATCATAGCGGCATGTTTTCTTTTTCTTAAACTACATTAATTAGTTCAGCCAACCCACAAGACTCACCGCTGCCGTCAGAGGCCTCTTTAGTTAAAATTCTCCATTAGCCACACACAAACGAATGTGTGTAGATCTATAGCAGCTCTCTGTCAGCAGTAAACAGATATTTATAGTATAAAAACTAGCAGCAGTATATTTTCTTGGGACACATTGGCCTCCTTAATACCAACAGAGCATTGTCTAAATGCCACAACGGTGCTGCTGACCATGTCTGTTCCTTGTTTTCCTCTGCTGGTTGTTTCCAGCAGGATAAAAACACCAAAGCTCAAATAATTTCAAACTGGTTTCTTTAACATGACAGTTCACTGTACTCGAATGGCCTCAACAGTCATCAGATCTCAATCCAATAGAGCACTGTAGGGATGCGGTGTAACCAGAGATTTGCATCTTGTATGCCGAGTGAACAAATCTGCAGCAACAGCGTGATGCCATCATGTCAAAATGGAACAAAGTCTCTGAGGAATGTTTCCAGCATCTTGTTGAATTTATGGCACAAAGCATTAAGGTAGTTCTGAAGGCAAAAAGGCAAGATGTACCTGATATATAACACTCCTAAGCCAGTAAAGACACCAAAGATTGATTTATTTTTGTCTAATCCAGTTTATTCTTCTTCAATAAAACAAAAAAAGGGTGAAGAGGAGAAGCAAGCGGTAAAGCAAAAGAAAAATTATAGAATTTTACACAAGTGACCTTCTCACTTGATATCTTAACAACCAAAAGAAAATTCAGCTCTAAACTTCGGTGTAAGTTTGAAATGCAAAATGTTAACAAGGTTAAATAAGTTTTTTTATTTAGGATACCAAATATTCATTCATTACGCATTCTCTTTTCATTTTTTCTACACTCCATCTGGAAAACCTTTGGAAGGTAATTATTTACTGAATTTAACTTTCAGCACACTGACTCCAGCCCTATGCCCTCCATCTACAGCGCAACAAGAAAGAAGGAGAACGAATTAAACGAGAGAAAATAGAGCAATCAATACAGGGAAAGATGAGAAAACCAAAGAAAAGCACAGGAAGAGGAGAATGCATGTGATCTCATCATGCTAGCTAGAAATCGCAACTTATAGTAAGGGATATTAAAGTACTGGTAAAAAGGAATCAAATACCCCCATACAAAATCTTGCTTCAAAGCTGGGAACAAAGATAACTAAAAAACATGATGAGACCCAGACTGCCATCAGAAACTGCTACTGCAGCTTCAGATCAAATTATGTATACAGCAACGTTAGATTTTTACCTGTTTGTGCTCAATGTGAACAACAGCTGAGCGCATAAAATATCACCAGAGTCAAACTGTGTATGATAGCAAAAGTACAGTAATGTGTAACAATGCAGACATTCCAGGTCCAAGTCCAAATCATAAGAACGCTTTATCCCTCACATCCTGTAAATTTTGTCGTGCTGAAGTTTGTACACATCCTGAAAAAGATTATGGATGTGAAGAGGAAACGTCTTTATGTGGAAGGTTTGCACATAATAAAGAGATAAGAGAGACAAAAAGAGGAAGACAAAATCTTCAAGTCTTCCTCAGTCACATCCTGACACTGAAGACAGGTCTCAGTTATTCAAGGACAAACGGTTTACGGTTCCCACCACCACTGTGTGTGTCTGAGTCCAAGACAGCCTGCAAGTTCTGAATATATGGACTTAGACTTCCACCAACAGTTTTATCATCCACAGTGGCAGAAACAGCCTCACAGAATCCTAAATGAATGGAGAAAATTGTGTTGTGTAGAGTAGGAGAGAAGGATGGAAGTTGATGGGAGAAGGGAAGACTGAGCTTCAGTATCCTGAGGTGGATGATTTTAACAGGCGTTTGTGTTTCTAGAGGTTAAGGGTTATGGGTGATCGATGGCCAGGGGGGGTAAGACACTGAATTAAACTGAGGCTCGCTTGCTCGTTTGTTTCACAAAGTCCGTGCTTGGCGCAGAGTACAAAGCAGCTCTGGTCTGATTTTGAGGTAAAGAGCACAGTCTATAAACAGCGCCAAAGCCAAGGAGTACATGAAAGATAACCTTTTCTTTCTCCTCCTCCTCCTCAGTTTCTTCCTTTCCTTTTCTGAGGTAAAGAGTAAAGTCTGGCTTCCAAGAAATACACTTGTATAAAGCATTGCATTTCTTGTCTTATTTATGTCATCTTACTCGATTCATTTTTATGAAGTCGAGAGTTTGCAACAAAAGGGAACAAACTGTATATTTCCTTTGCTCTTTATTGTTTTGTCTTTCCTTGGTTTGTTTTTTTCCAAAAGGCAGCAGGGATATAATCAAGCCAACAAAAGCAGAAAACAACCAAGATAGGCGATAGTGGAATTCAAAAAGAGCAAGCATAGTTTTAAGAGAAAAAAGGTGGAGGTTTGTATCTCCACTCTCACAAAAAAAAAAAAAAAAAAAAAAAGCAAAAATCTCGAGGAAAAAAAAAAAGACAAGAAAATAATATCCCTGTTAAAGATTCTTCTGAGGGAACGACTATTCAAGAGCACTCTTCCCCGATGCGCTGGCATGAGCGGCCCACCTTGCGGTCTAGCTTAACCATTTTGAGGACGGCGTCCTGACGTCCACGGCCCATGTGGTCAAACAGACACTCGTGCTGCTCTGGAAGCCGATGGAGCATACAGAAGACATAACCTAAAGGACGGGTTTGGGGTTGTGGATAAAAGAGACAAGGAGGGATTAATTTGTTGCCTTAAGTAAATGCACAAATATTGCAGTTGTAACTGTACACACTGCAGTTAATACATGAACTAAAGAAAAAAAAGATATGGCTACATAAAGCACACCTAAAACAATTTAACTAGAAATAAAATCAAAAGAGTAGCATTACTTTTAGATGCCAGTAAAGGTCGATTAACATTTAGTCTTTAGATATACTTTTTAAATGGTCAAGGGCAGATAACATGTAGTACTTGCCACAGTGCCCGTGTGTCAAAGAAGACATTCTACTTGATCGCTTCCTCTTTCAATGCTTTTCCGTTTTTCAGTAGATAGCGTTTCCTCCCTCTAACTACAGTAGCACTTTCAACAAAAAGCCCTGCCAATGGTGGAGGCTCGTTAAGCTCAGGGAAGCTCGTTAGCTTTCATCATCTTAAATTCATTCATTAATACACATAATAACGCTACTGGCATTTAATAAGTAGTGATTAAAGGCCCAGTTTAACATCTGGTTTCTAGGCAATTAAAACCTATACAATTACAGCACACGCGAGTGGATTAGAAGGGAGGAAAGTTGTGTCACGTTGGACAGAATATTCCCCCTATTAGAAACCACAAATCAAAAATTTTGTCCTCTGCTCACTGCTGGTATTTTCTAACAAAATGGTGAACTGAGTTCTTCTGTAAAATTAATGAACTGGGAAGAGACGTTGTGACTTGAGAATGTATTTTGTGATGCAAAAAACAATCTGTGAGTATACTGTAAGTTTCAAAGATTTTACAGCTAAAATCCAACATGTCTAAAATATTTATTTTACGTAGAGGCAAAAATGAATAAAGGATGAGGAAGAGCTGATGTGTGCACACACGCTGTAAAGGAAACCCTTAAACATATCCAGTTATATGCCTGGAAAATGCCAGACTGCAAGTATAATAACAGCTTGTGTGTCTGGACCTGTCAATCCCTACTTCTGTACACCAAAAACAGACCTGGCTGCACTGCCTCTTTACCAAGGTCCAAACTGTCTCTTGCACCTGCAGCATACCACCCTTGGTTAGAAACATAGCAGATGAAGACCTTCACCTCTGGGGTTCTTCTCTGGATAACATCTATGCCTTGGTCTTGGGTGCTTCCTCCTAATCTAACCTCTAAATCTAATTGCCAGTGAGTGAGTCACCAGTTATTGTATGGCAGACATTAATTAATAGGCTAATTATTTACAAAGTGTTTTTTCATTGTCCCCATTGCTTTACAACATGCAGCCGGCTAGCAAGGTCAAACAAACTGCAGCCACTGTGTGATTAAACCGTGTTGTATGCCCAGATTAATAATTACTTAAACCAAAGCTTAATGTCATGTTTTGAAGTAAGGTCAGAAGGCCAACAAGAAATCAAGTTTTAAGGTTGTAGTACTCCCTGTTCTCATCGTCTGTTGATTGTCTTTCTGACTTTAGAAGAATTTTACATTTTAGCCACACATATAAATAATTGAGAGAGATTTCGCATTTTCCCCATTATGGGAAAAATCACAGAAGTAATGTTTAGAAATTAGCAGGACCACTGTTATTAGGTTAAAAGGAAATGCTTTGGTTCCTTCATCTGTTAGGTCTCCACATTAAAAGATATGATATAATTAGCTGTTCAATTCCAGTGCCTCCACTCTGTGTTATATTAATACCTAGTACGATAAATAGCAACTGTGTAAAAGCAGAAAACTACTGAGACTAACAGCATCGGATCAGATTCACTACTTGAGCTATTTTTTCACCCCAATACAATCTGAAAAGCATTCATCCTTTCAGCTCATTATCAGACCTTCTTGGCTTACACTGTGGAACATTCTGCAGAACCATTAGCAAAGTAATCTGCAATTACTGCAACAGTCAGAAATCACTATAATTGCCACCATTTTCCCTTTCAATCTGTAAAAAGGATGTTTTCATAGTAAGCACTGGACTATTAAGGATGGATAGCCCGTGTATTAAGCAGCACCTGGTGGAAAAAAAAGGCAAGTCAATTTCCAATTTAGAAATTATTGCATTGGTTTAAGCAGATTGGTCTTTAAGTAGTGAAGAGCTCTGACTTTTCAAGTACTTTAATTTGTATGCAAACAAGTTGATTAGCAAGCCAAGTATTGGTTTGAACTACATTAGAGTTTGTGGTAATTGGCTTATGTTTTATGTGCAATGTGAAACACTGAGGCTTTCCTGTAATGGTCCCTCAAGGCTTGCAAAAGCAGTGATATATATATATATTTTTTCAACACACAAAGAAATGTCCAGGTAACGGTGCTGTGCTGGACACGTAATTCACAAAACTATTATTAAGCTAACCGAAGTGTACTTATGCATGTATCTGCATATTAACATAAGGTAATAACATGGTCTAAGGTGATATCTTTATGAAGTTAACAGTATTATGCATGTACTTAATGATAATGCCCCTTTGCGTAAGTGTTCATATGATGCGTATGTTAATACTGTACATATGAAAATGTGTCATCATACCACAGCGACAGGAACCCAGCTCTTGCTGTACCAGCTCCAGTTTGGTTTGGCAGCGATGGCAACGCTTACGGCTCCGCTGTTTAGAGCCACTGCGAGACGAGGATGAAGACGATGATGATGATGAAGACTCCTCACCCTCTGGGATCCCACCTACTCTCGCTCGCTTCTCAGGTGAAACATCACTTTCTGAATCTGAGGCTTAGAAGAAAGAGAAAAATAAGTTTAAAAAAAAAACAAAAAAACAACAACATTTGGCTACAACTGTTTTGCTTAATTGTTGTTTTTTGTTGTTGTTTTTAGATCAGGCATTGCCAGTTAGAGCCCTGCAACAAAGGAACTGAACTTAAACTCAGCTTTTCATTTTTCTTTCAAACCCACTTTCACATTTTCATTCTTAATTTATTTGTTTATTTTACTTGTTACCAAGACTGTTGTTGTTGCTTTAGTATGTATTTTGTAGCCATGTTTTAAATGGTGCTAAACAAATAAAATTTATACATCTAAGAAAAATAGTTCCTAGAGATTCTCTTAATGCAATGAAACACTGAAAGTCTGGAGCTACATTAAGCTGACTTTCAGCAAAATGACTAGCAATATTGTAATAGCTTAAGAGTATTTTGCATCTTTTTTCTGCTTCTATTGAGTTAAATCAGACTAGACTGTGATTACATTACATGTAAAAATTCATTCAATGAAAATTAATCTGTTTTGTACTGCAGACACAAAAATGCAAAGTGTAACAAATTTAAAATGGTTTGATACAATAAATCTAAAGCAACTGAAGCCAAAATTCTTCTTTACTTTTTATTACCATGGAATAAACAATACAAAACCTGAGGAACCTAAGAAAAACTCCAATACACCATTGTCAGAATTGGTCTATTCTGTAACTGGGATTGCACAGACGATGGCAAACTGGAACTAAACTCTTCTTTGTGATAAATTAAAAAAAAAAAAAAAAAAAAAAAGGAAGAGCGAGATTGATAGTTCTCCTGCATTAAATTATGTGCAGCCCAGCACCTGAGACAGCAAGAGAATGTAGCAAGGTTTCACTGGTTGGCTAGAATTTCAACTCAGCTTTTCTCATCAATCCGGCAGACTTTTTCACTGGCCTGGCCGAAATGCAGATCAGCGCTCAATAAATCTCTGAGAACTAGGCCAAGCTGAACAGTTAGATCCCCTCCTAGTCTGCTCCATCGATCCCTTTGTGTGTATGTGTGTCTGCACATGTGCAATTGCATGTTGTGGAAAAAAAATTCATTCTTGCCTGCTTTTTGTTATCCTAGAAGATCTCGGCACCCAATTTAGCAAGCTGTAACATCAAATTTAAATGTAAGTGAACAACTATAAGTTAAAGGAGGAAAATATGTGAAGGCAGGGCATTTGCACTGTAAACTGATGAGCGGTTGGTTGACTTAACGTCGTTTTAATTCAAGATTAAATATTGTACAAAAGGTAAAGTCAAAGTGTATCCAATGTCTAAAATGAAATACAGATGGCCCCAATTTAGAGATATTGTAAAAAGTGAAATGTCAACTCAACCAACAGTAAAAGGTTTAAATGACGCTGTGCGAGTATGTGTATTACTAGACATGATCCCGCTTTTTTAGACAAGGGATCAGCATGTTCACACACCTTTACTGAGCCTATCCTACTCTGTACTAGACATTGTCGTGTGTGAGTGTGCCCGCATGAGTTTAGCAAGTTGTGCCACCTAAGGGTGAAAGAACAATAAAAGCAATCTGCAATAGGAAATAGTCTGGCTGTTTTATAGACCTCATTCAGTAGATTCCCATTAGTGCTAATGATAATGCTGTCCTTCACAGATGCACATGTGGTGTGCCACTGTGACCCATTTCCTCTTCATTAATCAAAATCTATGTTTTTAAATCTATAGAATCAAATGAAGATGCTGCTAACCATGAAGCTACAATTCTCTTTCTATGTGACTTTTGCCATTTAAATCTCCATACTGCATGTCGATGTTATCATTCCACGCAACAACTACATGTGGGTATACTGCATATTCATGGTGTTCATTTACTCTAGTACAGCATGATTGGCTTTACATTTGCCTTGGCACATTCTGTTGCATCAGTAATATCCTGCTGTCCGCTACTTGTCCTGGAAGAACCATTAACCCAGCCATGTTGGATCAGTTATATGCTATTGACGCTAATGGGTCCTCCAATTTGAACTTTCTAAGTGCACATGACTAAAACATACAAACAAAATGCAACAGTGTATATTGTAGTAGTATAGAACTGAGGTATACCTGACTCAAATGTACGTTTTGTCGGAGTGGAGAATGAACCCAAGACTGTGTCGTTGCTGGATGCTCCTGAGGCAGAAAATAGTTTTTAAAAAAAAGAAAAGAAAAAAAAAGAAAAAAAAAAAAGAAGGGAAAGGGATCAAAATGAGTAAAAGAACCAAAGAGGAAGGAAAAGAAGATTAGTTTCTTACTTTAATGTGATTTTTCAACTCAAAAAATTAATTATTTAGCAATTTTAAAAAAAAATGTAAAAAAATAAATAAATCTGCAATTAAAGATCAAAATTACTAATTGTATAAATATCTCAAGCCCTTTAGACATGTAAATGAAATTTTAAACTGTATTAGATTGACAGACTAGGTGATGTGTTACAGGGACACTGTTAGGCCCAGAGTTTAAAACCCTAAGAGGCTGAGGACAAAAGCTGTCGAGGAATCTGCTGGTGGTTGCCCAGATACTCGGGTACCATCTTCAATATGGAAGCAGGATGAAAAGACTGTGACTGAGGCGTGCGAAATCCTTTATTATGCAATGAGGTTTTTTTTCCCCTCCTTGCAGCAACTATGATAGATATCTGTGAAGGAAAGGCCGCAGTGTGCATGTGTACAGGCTGGAGCCAGCCAAGAGGCAGTGTGGCTGTGGGTGGTAAAAAGGTGGTAAAAAGATAAAGAGTTGCACCAAATGTGTTATATGATCCACCTGTTCCTTATATAGTTTTAAAGGAGTTTGTAAAAAGTGTGTAACACTAGGAATGCAACAGAGTCAAATATCTTGACTTTTGCAAGAATGGTGACATTAAACACTTTCCTAGCTAGTAATGTGGTATTATTTACTCAGACTAAGCAATATGATTCTATGATTACATCCAAATGATTTTCTGCTGTGGAGCCAAATATTTGAGCATCAGTTTCAGGCATTAAATTGAAATACATTCAGTCACTGGTCAGACAAGTATAATTTGTTAGTGGCAGATAAAGGATCAAAACCAGGAGTTTGTGAAGCATTAAATAGCCAGATCGAAGAGTTATATGTACATGCTACATGTACAAATCTTTAAAAAAAAATTTAAAATAAAATAAAAATAATTTTATTTTCGAGTCCTCTACCAGAGGCCTGGGAGCTTCAGGGTCCTGCGCAGTATCTTAGCTGTTCCCAGGGCTGCGCTCTTCTGGACAGAGATCTCCAATGTTGTTCCCGGGATCTGCTGGAGCCACTCGCCTAGCTTGGGAGTCACCGCACCTAGTGCTCCGATTACCACGGGGACCACCGTTACCTTCACCCTCCACATCCTCTCGAGCTCTTCTCTGAGCCCTTGGTATTTCTCCAGCTTCTCGTGTTCCTTCTTCCTGATATTGCTGTCATTCGAACCGCTACATCGATCACTACGGCCATCTTCTTCTGTTTGTTTACCACCACTATGTCCGGTTGGTTAGCTACCACCATTTTGTCCGTCTGTATCTGGAAGTCCCACAGGATCTTAGCTCTGTCATTCTCCACCACCCTTTGGGGCTTCTCCCATTTTGACCTCGGAACTTCCAGGCCATATTCGGCACAGATGTTTCTGTATACTATGCCGGCCACTTGGTTATGGCGTTCCATGTATGCCCTGCCTGCTAGCATCTTGCACCCTGCTGTTGTGTGCTGGATTGTCTCAGGGGCATCTTTACACAGCCTGCACCTGGGGTCTTGCCTGTCTCGTTTACTCTTGGCATACAGCTTGATGTCATCCATGTACAGGAGGTGGCTGACAACTGCTCCATTCCATAGTCTGTATCCGTAGCCAGTCTTGTCAATGATCGCACTGAGGGGGTTAAGGCCTATGCAGAACAACAGTGGGGACAGCATCTCCTTGGTAGATCCTGCACTTGATGGTGACTTGTGCTATGGGCTTGGAGTTGGCCTCTAGTGTTGTACACCACATACCCATTGAGTTCCCGATGAAGGCTCTCAGGGTCCTGTTGATCTTGTACAATTCTAGGCATTCCAGGATCCAGGTGTGGGGCATTGAGTCATAGGCCTTCTTGTAATCAATCCAGGCAGTGCACAGGTTGGTCAGTCTGGTCTTGCAGGCTCGGCTGACTGTTCTGTCTACCAGTAGCTGGTGTTTTGCGCCTCTGGTATTCTTGCCAATTCCTTTCTGTGCTCCGCTCACGTATTGACCCATGTGCCTGTTCATCTTAGCCGATATGATGCCTGACAGGAGTTTCCATGTAGTACTGAGGCAGGTTATTGGTCGGTAGTTGGAGGGGACCGGTCCCTTCTTGGGGTCCTTGGGGATCAGGACTGTCCGACCTTCGGTTAGCCATTCCAGGTGTCTCTCGTCAACTAGCAGCTGGTTCATTTGTGCTGCCAGACGCTCGTGGAGTGCAGTCAGCTTCTTCAGCCAGTAGGCGTGAACCATGTCAGGGCCTGGTGCTGTCCAACTCTTCATACTGGAGACCCTTGCTTGGATTTCTGCCACCGTGATGGTTACTGGACCCTGTTCAGGGAGGTTGCTATGGTCTGCCCTCAGATCCACTAGCCACTGAGCATTGCCGTTATGGGTTGCGTCCGTCTCCCATATGCTCTTCCAGTATTGCTCCGTCTCCAGCCTTGGTAGTGCTGTTCTCTTATTGTTCCCTTGCCACTGAGAGTACACCTTTGCTGGTTCAGTGGAGAACAGCTGGTTTATTCTCCTGCCTTCTATCTCTCTGGTGTACCTCCTCAAGCAGCTGGCCAAGGCTGTGAGTCATTGCTTGGCAGTTTCCAAGGCCTCAGGTATGGACAGCTTGCTGTATTTTTTATGCACCTTCTTTGTCGCATCTTTCTGCAACTCCGTTAGTTGGCTAACCTCCCTCCGTGCTACTTTGATCTTGCCCTCTAGCCTCCTTCTCCATGGAGGGTACTGCCCCTTGTGGCTGTTCAACCTGTAGCCAAGCATCTCAATGATCACTGCTGCCGTATTGTAGATCAGCTTGTTAGTCTCGGTAAGCGTGGCTGTAGGTATCATCCGTAGTGCTGCATTAACATCATCGAGCAGACCTTCTGGTACTTCCCGTAATCTTGGTAACCGGCTACGGGGGATCCAGGTTTCAAGCTTGGCCATGATCCTATCTTTCAGGTCAGTTCCTCTCGCACTCAACGATCCTTCTCCTATCGTACTTGGGGCTTTGTACCCAATCTCGGGTGGGGGTGATGATATCTCCCCCCTGACCTGGCGTCCTGGCTCCCCCTTGCTGTAGCATTTATGTTGTACCTCATCAATCTCTAGCTGTGAGAGCAGTCCCTTCTTTTGAATGTTGGAACGCTGAGCTACTAGTTGTTTCGCCTTCATTGTGGATGTTGGGTATTGAAGAATCCATAGGTCCCTCATCCTATTCATGTAACCCCTTCCGCCAGGGTTACTTGCATAGTAGCATTCCAACAACGCCCTGTTTTCGTCTCTTGCCCACCGATGCTTTCTTGTTCAAGTAGCCCACTTCTCGTCAGGGTGCCCTGGTTCCTCAACACTTGACGCGGACATTGTTGATCCGGGCGACGTCCGAGCCGGCATGCCTTCATATTTATCTGTCTCGCTCATGTCTGCGGTAGGCTCACTTAGCATAGGGGGTCTAGCCTTACAGTTTTGGTCTTTTATTATTTTAATAACATAATAAAAGACCAGGTTAGTGTGGCATTTTTTATACCATTTCTGCACATCTGTTTTGTAGCCACTTTATTTTTCTGTTATGAATTGGCCTCCACAAATAACCTTGTCACTGTATAGCAATGACTGATGCCCTGGCAATTGTAGGTGTCCTCTTAAAACCTTCACTTCTGAATAGATGCCCTTTCCTATCATTCTATCTGTGCCATGAGGACAAATATAGCCAGGACAGGGATACTGCAGCTGCTGCTTGAGCTGGCAGAAGCTACTAACAGTGTTCCACAGAAAAATGCTCTCATCTAAAAGCTCTGGTTTTGACAACTCAATTTTATAAAGGCACACATTAACTCACTTCTAAATTTGAAATCGATGAATCATACATTGTTTCCATGTGTAGGGCGCACATTACAAATTACACACATTATATTACCAAGCCTTTAAGTTCATAATATTTTAAAGTGTAAATGTTCACTACCCACAGATCCAAAGGAAAAACTTGCTGATTGTCTTACCGTCCTGAACAGGTAGAGATGTCACTCCTATCTCTCCGGGCAAAGGGTCGTCTGATATGAGGGACTGACTAATGCTGTTGTTTGTTTCATTACAGAACATGTCTGCTTGACTGGTGTTAGAGTTTGAAGAGGCCTTTGGAGCACAGTCGTCGTTTGGCTGTTTCTTTTGAGTGTCTATGAAAACATGGACATGAGGACATTTTCTTTGTTTGGAGGTTTTAAGACAGAAAAATCAGTCAACAAACTCCCACTAAAACAATAACTTACCTGCAAAACATTTTGAGCAGAGATTCATGGTTTTGCTTGACCTGAGGAAAAGGAATGTGACGCAATTGTGTTAATAGAGCAGTCTGAGTGTTAAAAACAGTTTTGCAGTAAAAGGTATAAGATAAAACAGACAAGAGGCTAAGATAAAAGTGAGAGTGAGCGGTGAAATGTATCTTTTTGGCTATATTTTTGCTCATGTACACTTGCAAAAACTTACAAAGACTATTTTTTTTTCTTTATTAAATCAATTTTAAACACATTTCATACAACTATCCAGTTTTCAAAACTCAAGAAAACAAACCTGTCACACAGTGTCTGTACAATGTAAAATAAACTGATTTGTTGCAGTACAAACTAAAGTATGGATTATTGCTACAAATACAGGGCGTATCAAAAAGAATCTTCTGACTTCAAAGTACTTTAATTCTGCAGACGTTCACCAGTAACGATCGAAACACGTACTGTTAGAGAGAAGGGCTTTCTGAGTTTCATCTGGTTGCCAGTATATATCATAACAGAATTATCTTTGAGTTTGATCAGTTTGATTGTACAGACATAAGTGCGTCTGGGGGGGACATATTGAGCAGCTGTGAATACAAAACATAGGTTTTGTATGTAAAACTTTATAGTCAGCCATGTATTTTAAAATGTACCACAAACTTTTATGTTCATTACCTAAAGAAATTGGATAATTCTTTTTGACACACACTGGACATGCCAGTCCTCCAACGTATTTACCAGAACAATCTGAACAGTCAATATAAGTACAGATTTACATTATGTTTCTGTGTTTTGGATTTAGATTCTGTCTCACTTTGATCACAAGGTTCTTAAAACTACTTTAAGATGAGCTGAACAAAAGTCAACTAGTTCCCTCTGATTGTTATGAAATTCCCCATAGTATGTTAATGGGGATACAGACTCAAAGCTAGTGGTTAGCAGTAAGGGTTAAAGTATCAGTGTGGTAGTTAGAGTTTTCTCAACATACTTTTCCTTCCTGAAGGCAGATAAAGACTTTTGATATAAGTTATCTATTGTCATGGAGCCTTGCTGATTTCAGTGGCACAGCTCTTTCACAACAGATGGCTCTGGGTTTAGTCTGAGAAAGGCTCCTCTCATTTCCTCTGCAGCCTTCGTCCTTACTGTCTGTGCACTGAGCGTGACGGTCGCTGCTATCAGTCACATTCTATTTATTTTGGGCGCTCCATTGCACACCTTTGTCCTCATTTCTAAATGTGGGGTCAGCTGCAGTCAACCTGAGGGCTTTCTGTCAGTCTCCTGGTGTGTAGTCTCAGGTATAAAAGGGAAAGGATGAAGCAAGAAGTTAGGAAAGAGGAGAAACCTCATCATTACATGCAGGCAGGGAGGAAGCCAATGCTGGGTAAACATCAAGTCATATCCTCTTATCAACCTTACAATCAGAGGTAATCAAACTACAGATTCATTAAGGAAATTAAAAGGGTGAAGAAGGGTGAGAAAAACTATGCAGGAGAAAAAACAGCTCCATGGCTGTTAAGCTGACTGAAGCCTGAACAGAGTGCACACAACATGTCTATTTCATAGTTGGCCTACTGCTGTTACTAATGAGAATATCTGATTGGAACAGACAGGAAGACAGGCTCCACTGCCTCTGTGATTCAGCTTGAGTGACACAAAGGAGTGAGATATTGGAAGGGTGATAAATGTTTTGAAGAAATTAGTTTTTAACAATTTTTCTTGACATGAGCAGGTAAATGAAAGACAACATAAATACAGCTAGAACTCAGGTGATAGAAAGCAATCAAAGCATAGTATCACCAGTGCATGTGGCTCAATTACTTTTAAGATGATGGTATACCTTTACTGGGGGTAAAAAGTAACGGCAAAGGACTGAACTGTTTTAGTTTTATGTTACTGGGGAAGCAGACATACCATGCAGTTCTTCATGTGTGCTAGAAATACCTATTTTATTTTAGGCGATGTGTTTCTCAAAAGAAACTGTAAGGGTGGCACATTATCAAACAAACACCCAATTTTGAATTCAAACGGTAATCTTTAATACACTAAAATTGAAGGTCATACTTTGGAAAGAATAGCTCTTAGATTGCCTAAAGGATTTTTAATGTTTTGCTCAATGCTAATTTCCATAATTATGCTTTTTTTCCCTCCCCATCCTCTTACACACACAGAAAAATACCTGGAGAGAACACTGACCTGAACAGTTTTAAAAAAACTAGCTTATTGACATTTCATAAAAGACAACTTAGCATTACCCTTACAACTTACACAGCTGAGCAGTCAACTGGAACATAGACGGATAAGCAGCTCAGGTGGCTGCTTGCGAGTAGATCTCACAAATAGAAGAAAGTTAAATAGGAAGGGGCATTTGATGCTAAACTATAGAGTTTGGATGCATCATTGCTGACTTTTGTAACATCCTATTATAGTACCGAACAGCTTGTTCTCTGCTTTGGCTTTCTTTCTGAAAATGACACAATCTACAAACTACTGCGAGGCACACAATTAGTGCTTGTATTGATCCAAAATGTTTTGGTGTGGATAGCAATACAGAACAAGTTATTAAACTAAGTGACTGGGTAATTACTTGACTAATCCAGTCATTTTGCATAGCCTTGTCAACAGCGATCGCCATTTTCAGCATTATACATCTTTTCTGCTAATATGAAATCTTTAAAATGGGCTGGTGCTATCATGATTTTGCCATTCAGTACAAATAAAATGTTTTATATCCATGTGGGTACATGATGATATAAAATATGGATTCAATAAGTGAATTATTGTTTATGTGCAAGGCAACTTAAAAACTGCTTTCCCAAAACTGTAAAAATAAATGTGGCCAAGAAATGGTTGAAGTTCACTCTGTCATTGCAGCCACATTAAAATATGTTTTCTCACAGCCTAACTGCAAAATTCAGAAAATCATTCATTAGTAAAATAATAAAATAATCAGAAGGCACAAAATAAATGTGCCCTTTTTCGCACCTACTCGCATACGGACTACAAGTGGAGGTCACGGAAATGGGTGAAGTGCTGACGACAACATGCTATGTTACCATAAATGTACTAAAAGCTTAAGTTAGCGTTGACTTATTCCTTGTCAGTTTAATTAAATACCTCGCACCTGACCTTCTCAAATTTGTCTGAGAAAAAAAAATATAAAAACTTTGAACTTTTTAGAAAGAGCAAGTGTCTGATACTAATTGTGACAGTATTCACTTTCATTTACCCAATATGAACTTTTGGAATACTCATATTTATGTATGACAGCCAAATATTTTCAGAAGCAGTGCAAGACGTTTTCAATCAATTTATGCATCCTCACAGCCCAGCAAACAGTTATTTCTGGCCAAGATATGTGCCTGTGTCCTTGGTACCATTACAACGGATACCACCACTGGTAGCAGATAAGTTGTTGGAGGATGGCATAAAAAATGAGTCTAAATAAATAATACTAGCTATCCAAGTAACAGAACTTATGCAGTCCACACTCATAATTGTTGATACTTATTAACTTGTTTTTAAAGCAAATCTTTGGTCTACTTAAAACATTAAAAAATTAAAGATATTTGATGTACTAAAAAAATTAAATATTGAGCCATCATGCTTAGTTTGGTACTGTAACAAACCCATTTAAACGCTTCTCCAAAGGCCAAGGCGGTATGGATATGGTTATTTGTGTGCCAACTCCACAGATATTTAAATACTTCATAAACTCTAGTCAGGTAGAAAAAACTGATGCCTTTGGTCATGGAAAACACATTTTCTGATGAGAGCTGGTGACTGACATTGCAGTGTCAAGTCAAGTTTTGTATTGTACATCATTTCCATACTAATCCAAAGGTTAGTGAATAAAGTGGCATTTTTGTAAAATATACACAAACGGAATGAGATACTTGTGAGTTCCAATAGTCTCATTTCACTTTGTGAGAACTAATTTTGGGGTCCTCTCTTGTCTGGCTAAGTGCTACATTTCTCTGATTTTTTACCACTGAGCTGAAAACTCAAGACTGCAAGTGTTTATAAATGCCTATCATAAATACGTCCACTAAAGTACAATATTTTGTATCCATTTTTTCCTAAAATACAACAATGTGGGCTACTTTTTAAAATTCGACATTTGAAGAACTAGCCAAAGAGTGATAACACTAATACATTTTTCAACCGGTCCATATTACAAAACCTAATTTGGGCTCATATGTGTTGCAAAGTTAACATATGCCTCAACACACATGAATCAAATTGTACACAGCAGGATTACTGCACAGTGCCAATTTGTCTGTGCCACCCCGGCACATTCAGTTTAAAGTACCAGTTGCCCGTTTCTTTCTGCTAGAGTCTGGTTCATGGAGACACTTTGATGTCTCTAACTAACTGCTTCATGCATGAACTTAACACGTTAACTATCCAGTTGATTAACACTTTCACACCTGTCGCGTAACCTGGAAGGCTTACCCCAGATTCCCTACCCTGCTTCCTTCCTTTACAGGAGAAGGTTACCGAGGCCAACTGGTGTTAGCTAGTAGCTAATGCTACAAAACAATGGGGAGGGGGTAATAAGGAGAAAAGCAGCTCATCCCTGTTTGAGCTGCTAATGCTAGTGGCTATCGACTCTGCTAGCTACTGGCAGAGAAAGAAAGCGTTAGAAAGCGAGACGTTTGACAGGTTATTCTGCTTACCCCCAGAACCCACAGGGGCAGCGAGGGGGTATAACGTTAACGTTACTCGGAGGCTTGCTGCCCTCGCTCCCCGTGTCGCCCATGTCTGTCTCCCGTGTCAAGCTGTCGGTGTAGCAGGTGAATCCGTGGATGGAGTGAGGGCCTCGTATTTGCGTTTAGATCCCCTTGGCTTTGATAAGCATACAACCGTCACTCTGCCCAGATAATTCTTCCGAGTTTCAGTGTAGGGTGGACAATTTGACGACACAAGCAGCCACCTAGTCCGTCAAATTAAAGTAGTTGAAGTCGACGTTAAGACGCTGGGGCCGTCAAAGCCAGCAACGGACGGAACCACCGGGGATCCTGGGCCGATCAGCTGGAGTGAGGAACGAACCACTGGCAGAGAGGGGGAGGTGTGTGAGGAACACGAAAGACAAAAGTTAGATTGACGTGTTTGTACAAACTGTTAAGGGATACGGAATAACGACACAATAATTGTTAGCATTGTGTATACAGAAATAACATTTGAACTCGGTAAATGACTCATTTAAAATAATTCATTTTAGAAGCGTTATCATGGTATGATCCAGACAAAACCACAGTTAAAAAGCCCAGAGCTCTGAAAGTGTCTCTGAGAGTGTTTTGTTCACTTAAAAACAAAGTTATCCTCCCAGGATGTATCTTAGAAATGTAAAATGATGTGATAGGCTGTGACAGACCCTTTTCACTGGACATATTTTGATGCGTCTCGGTAGCAGTTAAAAAAACAAAACGAAACAAAACAAAGCCCCCAAAAAACATGTAACAAAATTAAAACTGTAGTATGCATAGTTATTATAAAGGAATATTTAAAACACAAACAAAAACATCTGAATTTAAAAATCTAGATAGATAAAAAGATAGATAAGGCTTTATTTTTAAGATGTTAGAATAGCACAAAATGTAAGGAAAACGATAATAATAATAAATAACTTAACTTCCCATAAGAGGTAAAAAGAAGCATGCGGTTATTTAATCCCACCCTTCGCCACTTTTAGTAAATAATAATCTCTATTATTAATTAATCTTCCTTATTTAGTAAATAATAATTATCTCTTTAACTTCCGGTTTGTGTCCTGTCCTATCATCAATCCTTATTTACATTTTGCTACATATATTTGGTTTTGTAACCCTGTAACACATCAAGGGATATAGTTATATTAACAGATTTACATATATATGTACACAGCTTCACTCCATGCACAAAAGTACAAAAAGTTCATCAGATTAGTAAACTTTAATCTTTTTCATTTCAAGAATAGTTGATTTGCGTGATTTCTGTCAGAAGTATTATCGCTTCATATAGGCTAAAAGTAAGTCAGTGCTTCATGTGTACTTGAAACATGTGAGAAAAAAAGTCAGTTCCCGATCAAAAATGTTGAGTCATTGGCTCCATTTTGTAAAGCATGAAAATAGAAAATGATGCTGAATTCCTTAAAGGTTGGTTTTTAGGGCCATGGTAATGTACATGCTGGCTTAAAGTCATTCTTATACTCATATTGAGTACAAGGCAGGAACTGTTAGTATTAATAGTAACCACTGTTACTATTACAACAAGTTTTGGGACATATTGCTCGAAAAATGCAATAAATGGCTACTACACCTAATTATTGTCATTTAACATGATATGTTTTCATCATAAATCAAAAGTATGCGGTGAGTCAAATTCAAGGTTTATAATTTCAAATGGTGGACAAAAATGCATGTCTCCCTGCAGGATTAATATTACAAATTATGTATTTAATGTTTTTCATTCTTTGTAGCATTACCTGAACATTAAGCTTACTTCTTAGCCATCTTTTGTTAAATCAATCTTGCAATTCAGTGGCTTAATACAAATAAATGGTGGTGATTAGTTTGACCATCCTCATGAACAGACTTCCTTGTATAACACATTTCAGAACCACATTCATCAAAAAATATTTTCCCTGGCTGAAACCTTTTTTTATTAATCACACCTGTGTTTTATCTCTTTTTGGCAAGACACGGCACCTGTTGTTGTTTTTTATGCTGATGTTAGCTCATTAGCATTTGCACTTTATTTTTTCCTTTCAAGTTAATCTTAACTAAGCTTTCTTTCTTTCTTTCTTTTTTTCTTTTCTTTTTTTTTTGCTGACTTGAAGTATCATTACAGACTTTGCTGGGAATTGAGTTGTTTTATGTTCTTGTGACTTGATGGTGCCAAGAAGTAGCATTACTGAATTCTGTTTCTCACCTTAAAGTGACTTTCAGAAAAACACAACACTTTACGTTAGAGCCAGGAGGCTTGAATTCCCCTCAGCAAGACCTGCCAAGAAGTAGCTACTCTCTGCAGGGAAGGACAAGTGGGCCTTGGGTGGAATGAAGATAGATAGATGATAGTTCATTAGCTTGGTAGGCACAGGGAGGTTGATGCCGCAGAGAATTGCAGAATCTTGTTTTTCAGTGTTGCTTAGAGCATTTATTCGAGTAGAGAATGTAACAATAGCTAGCACAGATTAGTTGTTTTTTGTAGTTTTGTCTCACCCAAAGCTAAATAGTTTTGACTGACATTTTACTATCTTAAGATTCTGATGGGATGCTTTATTTCAAATAAACAGGTAATAGTTCAGTGCTGCAAACATGGCCATGACAAGCCCCAGTTTTGGCCTCACAGTTAAAAAGCAGTTGTTGCTTCTCTCCAAAGCCTCAGTCCAGCCTCAGGCTTGGCTGTCCTCTAGAGATTTGGTGTACACCACTTCAAAGAACCACCACCTCTCCTCACATGCCATATATCCTCTCTCCCCTCCCCTGCAATAAACACAAGAACTTAAGGAATTAATTAGACACTAAATCAAGCATGGGTTAGAAAATTCAGCTCACTTAAAATATCCATAACAGTGATGTCACATGCAAACCCTTGTACCCCTTGTTATGGATTATCTTTGATATGTATGTAGATCCAGTAAGATAACATGCATTTGCAGTCTCTTGACCCCTCTTTAATTCACTGAGGGATATGGATTGTGTATTTTGCAGGCTTTACTCCTCACATAACATGATCGCCCTGTAAAAATGCAATGAGGAACATCCTTGATACAGCTTGGCTCCTTGAAGGGCTGTTCATTAAAGAAAGTTCTAGTCACAAAGGAAGTTTTAAAATGTATTTTCACTTCAAAGAAGCAGAAGATAATCTGTGAATCTTCACAGAGTTCGATCAGAGGTGAAGGTTCATTAATTTTGCAGTACATCTAATTTTTGGAATGTGAGTGTGAATGATTGTCTGTCACTCTCTGTGTTAGCCCTGTGACAGACGGGCAACCTGTCCAGGATATACCCTGCATCTCACCAATGACAGCTGGGATAGGCTCCAGCACCCTCATGACCCTGAACTGGATAAGTAGTTAAGAAAACAGATGTGTTGGGGGTAAACCAGTATAATCTAATATCTCAAATTTCATACCCCTTGTGTAACCAATGTAATATCTTTGTTTATAGGTATAGTAACAAATCACTGCCTAAACAATATGCTGATTAACCAGCTGGACTTGCATTAGCCCGTGTGTCGATAAAGGGAGTTGATTCATGACTTCTATTATGAGAGACAGGCCCTCTACAAGATGGATTGTATGGGAAATCTATGTGAATACATTTGTACATAAATGAGTCTTTGTTATCTTTTAATGACATCCCCAGATAGGCAGGCTGGCTATTACTGACTGGAGACAAGCAGCCTGTTAAGCTTGTAGTGTGAGGGGTGTATCAAAAAACACAATTACAGTTTAGTCAACAGCATTATTGATTTGCGTAAGCACTGTGCACCATCTTGAGTTTGAACACTGGTTCTTTTATGGGATGTCTGTCTGTGATATTTACAGTTGCAAAGTTTTGGGGAAGTTTTACAATTGCACAATGACATAAACACTACTAACTAAAGATCTGTAGTGAAAAAGAGCTGGCGCACTCTTCCTATTATTTCAATGTGAGTCTGTCACATCATTCCTTGCGGTGAACTTTCTGCAAAACACTTGGTAATGCAGTGTAATATATTGCACTTGCTGTGTGCTGATTGAAGTCGGTCAAATGACACTGAGTGCAAATGCCTTTTTAGCAATGTGCAGTTTTCAGCTGCACAAATGCTCATTGACAGACGAGGAAAAACACCTTTGACAACAAGCTGAGAGATCAGAACTTGGCTGTGAAGCAGCGGTGACTGTAGGCAGTGTTTAGAAGTATACACAGAGAGGATAAACATCAGAGAGGACCCTGCCAGGCAGCCAGTAAAAACAATGCGCACTACCTATCCGAGTCCCCCACCCCACAATTGTTTTTCTTATTATGTGTCTTTTCCTCTCTTTCACTTACTGTCTTTCTTTAGTTAAATATCTCTTCCTCTTTCCTTTTCTGTCTCTGACACACATTTATTATGCCTGCACACACTCGCATACACACACACACACACACACACACTAAAAGTCCAGCCTCCCACTGTGTGCAGAATGTGTAGTGAAGCCACCCGTGTATCAGGCGGGGAATCCAGCATAGGCAGCCTTCCTACTATCTCATCTGTTGATCAAAGAGCTGCTAAACAGACAGAAACTACAGTGGGTGCAAAAGGAGAGCATGCACAGCAATACAATTAGCAAGCAGCTTTCCACTTTTTTTTTTCTTTTTACATGTTGAATTCCACTCCCTACCCCAGACACTTTCAGAAGCAAACACAGCTATGTGCATACAAATGTGGAAAATATAAACATGCAAATATGTCTGTTTATTCCAAATATTTTTAACGCATATATATTCAAAGTATAATCAACTGTGGTTTCACCTTTGAGTGACTGCTCATGATAGCATCAGCCACTGATCTTTAAGTTGCTCAATTAAAGTGAGTGAAGAGCCTCAGCAGAGCAACGACTGGAGAGGAAGATCAAAGGAAATATAATAAAAAAATCATTGCTAGAAAAACGGGGAGAGAAAAGGGACGTGTGAGAAAGTGCACAGAGAGAGATCATGATAGGAATAGGAGCTAAGAAATCTCAGAAGAGGAGAGCACAGTGGAAAAAACAGTTAGGCTATCCATCTTACCCATCTTATCCACTGTCGTCTTCTTATATTGATGGAAGAACAACAGCTTGCATGCAAAAACAGATAAGACAGTATGAAAAAAATAAGTTGAGAGGCAATTGTCTCTCTGCTGGCACCACATTTCTATCCCCAAACTCACAATCGTTTCTCCACTTAGTGATTATTGTTTTTAATCGTTTGACCCTGTTGAGCTGTCAGAGAAAGCAGAGGTCAGTTCATGTCATTAACAGCTGATTAACAGCAGCACTCCCATCTACAGCAGAAACCGTATGGAGCACGAAGCAAATAAAAAACATGCATTTATGAGATAAGAATGA